TCTTTAAATAAGTATATACTTAAATTCGTAGTAAGCTTGATAAATATTCTATGTTGATATTCACATGTGTGGCAGTAATCTACTATTTTTATACATATCAAGTGCAAAGATTCAAATTTTTACCAAATATATAATAAAAAAGGGGGGGGCATTTCATCAGCTAAAAAATAAGTTTCCAAGTGATGTTTGTACATAGGTTTGAAACAAAGATGATATTTATTCATTTAATCAATTTATTTATGTGTTAAACACTGGAAGTGAAATGAATTTTTCATTTGTTTACATGTGTTGTACAGGTGGCACAGCATGGAATGTGTGTAATGTCCAAGGGTCCAGAAACTGTCATATTTGCCAGTCATGACCTAAACTGAAAGCTATTTGTCCTAAACAAAAAATTGGGATTTAGGACAAATTTTTATTTTTTTACAGAAATAATTTCGGTCATTTCATTGAGATCGGGTTTCTTAATCGACATTTTGCACTTGTGATTATATAATCCCTTTCCTGTAATAAAATGTCACTCCAGTAAAGTCTGATAATCCTGAGGGCCCTCCTAATAACTATATTAATGCCTCTGGGAAATATTGGCTAATGATCGCTAATCACTTTTTACCTGTGTTTTTAATTCACACACATTGATCACAAGCTCAGAACTAATATTATAAAGAAATTAAAACTCCATGACAACTGTATTCATTATTTAATTACTTTTCAGCAAAGACAATCATCAATTCTGATTTAAAAATTAAAACTTAATTTATTTCATGTAGAATAAGGTAATTTTTCACGAGTAACACATGTGCTTTATTACTATGTAATACGCATGCGTGAAATTGTCTTCAGCAGATAAGACATTTAATCGTAAAATGCAAAATGGTTTCATGTTAAATTAAACGAGTGCAACTATCATCTGTTATATTAAAACACTTTTAAAGGTAATAAAATTAAAAAGCCGGTGATTTCCTGTCAATTTGATAAACAAAACGAATCATGGAAATGAATCCAGAATTATTCGTACTTTAGTATTGTCGCAAAACTTCTGGTTTTAATTTCGACTTCAAAATCGAAAGAAACGTTAGCTATGTCTGATATATTAACCATTTTGAGTCATTAAAATCATTTCAATTTTAAACCATTGCCTTCCCAAAACTGTTCTTGAACGTTTTTAAAAAAATGATAAGAAAATTCATGAAGTAAATGCAATGAAACAGTCAATACAAGTTCGTTGATGATATGAATCTAGTGTGATATCGACAATTCCAAAAAAAGGCACCAACTTTTAATTCATCTCAAAATGACCGAAATTGCGTTAAAAAATTTCCAGATCCTTGGTAATGTCTCATAGTTCACCTTTTCCATACATATTAACAAATATTCTTGAATTGAGAACTGTTTCTTAACCAAAAATTCACTTTTCATAACTTTTATGCCTTATAAACAAAGGGTAAATACATAAATACAGCTCTTCATTGATGAGCGATTTTGCTGTCTGCCATTTTGTGGGAATGAAACGTCAATTTCTATCTTGCTCAATACCAATTTGTACCCTAGATGATTAATCTATTGTAGCAGTTGTAATACACATATTTAGTATTTCATGGTTATACGCTGCCAAACACAAACATATTGTAAATATTAAGATTGAGTTAATGAACTATGTTTTATATAATTTACTTATGTCCCAGGTCAGGTGGATGGTTTAATGGCAGCAAACATGTTTAACCCTGTCACATTCTTTATGTGCTGGTTCCAAGTCAGGAGACTGTAGTTTATATAATTAGTGGTTTTTCCTTGGTTCATGTCCGTCATATTTGTTTTTCGTAAATTGTTTTGATAAAAATTAGGCCGTTAGTTTTCTATATTGAATTGTTTCACATTTTTCATGTCAGGGCCTTTTTTAGCAGACTATACGGTATGGGTTTTTTCTCATTGTTGGAGGCCGTACGGATGACTGTAACTGCTTACATCCACTTCACTTGAACCTACGTGGATAATTGTCTCATTGGCAACCATACCGCATCTCCTTTTTTTTATATTATGTATGTACTTGCACGTATCCCCTGCAAAATCAATGTGCACACAGCAGTGTTTGATCACATATTTCAAGTTATTTTATTTGCTATAGCTTTGTATTAAATATTTTTTGCTTAATGACAATCACCACACAATCTCTAGATAATTTCAATTCTATGTTTTTCAATATCCTAACATTGTACAGTTCCAGCTTCCCAGAATGGACAAGTACCGGTATCCATTGGTTCTGTATATCTCATGACACTTACCAATTTTGTATATAGACGCATGAACTCTTAGTAATGGCAAAAAGCACAAGGTTCTGTTGGCAGTAAGTTCGAAAAGCAAACACTAAGCAAACTTTAGTAAATTGTAAACAAAGCAGTAAAAAGCTTAAAGTGAGTTTTTTGTACAGAAAGCTATCTCCCACCATGTCGGACACCACAAATATGAATTTAAGCTGCATATTTAGTTCATATGCACTATATTGTTGTCTACTAATAGAAATGTCAGAAATGCTTTATTTCAACCCATTTTTTAAACAGTTCAACAAATAAAAAAACATTGAAATGTCACTCTATTCTTATCAATTTTGGACACATACAAAAAACAAGAGTGGACACGCTGAAATGTCTCGCCTTCTTTACTAATCATTGATATTATGTTGATAGTCCTAAATATAAAGCTTTATTACAACTGTCACATAAACTTAACATTAACTAAGTAAACTAAACATTGACCAATGAACCATGAAAATGAGGTCAAGGTCAGATGAACCATGCTAGGCAGGCATGTACAGCTAACAATTCTTCCATACAAGAAATATAGTTGACCTATTCTTATAGTATGAAAAACAGGCCAAAACACAAAAACTTAACACTGAGCAATGAACCTTGAAAATGAGGTCAAGGTAAAAAAAACCTGCGTGACTGACAAATAGATCATAAAATATTTCCATACACCAAATATAGTTGAACTATTGCATATAGTATTAGAAAAAAAGACCAAAACTCAAAAACTTAACTTTGACCACTGAACCATGAAAATGAGGTCAAGGTCAGATGACACCTGCCAGCTAGACATGTACACCTTACAATCATTCCATACACCAAATATAGTTGAACTATTGCATACAGAATAAGAAAAACAGACCAAAACACAAAAACTTAACTATAACAACTGAACCATGAAAATGAGGTCAAGGTCAGATGACACCTGCCAGCTAGACATGTACACCTTACAGTCCTTCCATACACCAAATATAGTAGACCTATTGCATACAGTATAAGAAAAACAGACCAAAACACAAAAACTTAACTATAACCACTGAACCATGAAAACGAGGTCAAGGTCAGATGACACCTACCAGTTGGACATGTACACCTTACAGTCCTTCCATACACCAAATATAGAAGACCTATTGCTTATAGTATCTGATATATGGACTTGACCACGAAAACTTAACCTTGTTCACTGATCCATGAAATGAGGTCGAGGTCAGGTGAAAACTGTCTGACGGGCATGAGGACCTTGCAAGGTACGCACATATTAAATATAGTTATCCTATTATTCATAATAAGAGAGAAATTAACATTACAAAAAATCTGAACTTTTTTTTCAAGTAGTCACTGAACCATGAAAATGAGGTCAAGGACATTGGACATGTGACTGACGGAAACTTCGTAACATGAGGCATCCATATACAAAGTATGAAGCATCCAGACCTTCCACCCTCTAAAATATAAAGCTTTTAAGAAGTTAGCTAACGCCGCAGCTGCCGTAGGATCACTATCCCTATGTCGATCTTTCTGCGACAAAAGTCGCAGGCTCGACAAAAAATCATTTACACTGGTGAAACTAAATAGTTGCTGAAAGACACTTGTTCAAAATCAAAGACTATGGAAAGCCTTTCATAACAAAAATAGCACAGTAACACACAAACACAGGAAGCCGTTTGATTATTAATCACTCAGAGGAACCATACTAAACACTGACGAAGCTTTATATTCATGTAAAGGTGTTCTGGGGAGCAGATGCTGCATTCCATGAGCATTCATAATTATATTGCCCAGACAAGATGCTCTTGGGTGGCTTACAATATAGATACACATGTCAATTAAATTAAATGTTCTGTGTTTTAAGAGCTGGAAAACCAAATTTTAAAACTAGTGCATGATTTCCTCAATCATAATATTGTATTAGTTTTTGGTTGAGTATTGGGAGATTCATTTGGGGATTTGCTTTGTTTAGCAGCTTATGAAAAGGTGTTCATATTCAATTAATAATGAAGAGAGGTGCATTCATTCCTGAAGATGCATCATAATATATCTTTATATCTTATTCCATTACTTTTTATAACCCTAGTGAGCCTCATATAAGATATGGTCATATCTTAAATGAAATCTCGAAAGATCTTGGCTGAACAGCCAACTGATATTTATGTTGATCTTATGAAGACTGTGTCATGCTTGTTGAGTGGGAAACAAAGTCAAAAAACTTTTAACAAAATTTTTGCCAGAGGTTTAGCAAATTGTTCTTTTTTTTTAAATAAATAATAATAAATATAAATAAATACATGCAATCAATATTAATAGAATTAAGGAAAGGTTCTATTTGCTCTTATGAACTCTGGGTTTATATCTTTACACATTAGTCATAACCTTTATTAAACTGAGCTTATTTGAGCAAGTTTTTGTATAAAATATAGTCAGTGCTTATTCATAGAAAGTAAAAGGGCTCTTGGTATAAAACTGTAGGCAGAGTTGAGTATGGGTAACCTTATTTCCTCCCTTGCCTACCATTGGCCCACCTGCCAACTGGATTGTCACCATACTGCACTTCATGCAAAGTGGCAAAAAATGGCAAAAACAAAATATTTACCTACTAATAACATCCTTTTCGAATTATTATTTCAAGTTTCATGTTACCTTTTGGTTTAATCTACTAGGAATATTACATTGCTATAGAATAATATAAGAAAATCTTACCATTTTAGATTCATATATATAAAGAACTTTGAGCTGTGGGTTTGGACCTAAGAGACTCTGGAGCTGGTTATCATCATTTATCAAACTATCAACTAAATGTTGTAAATATCCTTTTGATGTCATAAAATTTAACCACTGCTGAAATTTATCCATAGATAATATTTTGTCCAAAACAGATAATGCCAGCATCTAGAAAGATAAAATATCATTCTACAGAAAATTAGTTACAGGATATAAACTCTAATCCTTTGTTAATTTATGTTGATCATTGTCATTTTGCTTAGTTTCTTCTGTTACCTTTTCTATCATCGGTTTAGAACTTTTTAAAACTGAGTTTTACTATGCGTATTGCTGTGTATTTGTTTAATCCACATTGGCTAGATGTATAAGGGAGGGTTGTGATCTTACAAAAATTTTTAAGCCAGCTACGTTTTTGCACTTGTCCCAAGTCAGGAACCTCTAGTCTTTCTAGCCTGTGTGTTTTTTTAAATTTTAGTTCATTTGTATGTTCTTGAGTTTAGTGTGGATTCAATTTTGCTGAACTAGTATACATTATTGTTTAAGAGCCAGCTGAAACCCGCCTCCTGGTGCAGGATTTTCTTGCTGCATTGAAAGACCCATTTGTGGCCTTGGGCTGTTTGTTTGGTCGGGTTGTTGTCTCCTCAACACATTCTTTATTCTATATCTAATCAGTTGACATAGTAGCAAAGTATACTATGTCAGAATAAAGGATCTAGTTGCCTGAATTGCTCACCTGGAAAACATCGGCCATTGTGATATTTATTTTCACCATTTTTTTCTTTTGGAAACAAATCATATATTTTCAAAAATACAACTTTTCGAGTTTGTTCCAAGTGAACACAAGGTCAATAATTCCATATTTTTTTTAGTTTTTTCAATCCCCTCAAGCTCGCCAATCAAATATCCCTCCACTAGAAATTGTACTGTTGTTTTTTTTGTTTTTTACTATATTCAGTTTATCTATTACCATTTTCAAGGTGATATTCAATAGACATATATGGTAAAATAAAACATTTAAGGGCAATAACACCTATAAGTAGACAATTGTTTGTTTCAGTTATATTGGCACATTCATAGATCGTGTATTATTAATAACTTTTTCTGTTTGGAGTTACTGGTTATTCAATAAATATTTCAAGTTTAAAGGAAAACCTGGTCTTTTAATGAAAATAACTTTAAAATTGATAGTTGTCCAGACATGTGACAGAGTTGTCAAGTCACAACTAGAGATTTGAACATTTTCAGCTGGAATTTAGTCCCCATAACTTTATCAACATTGCTGTCGATGTTTTCAGTGTTCATTATGATAATAAAACTAGATATTTTCCTTTTTTTTTAACACAAGAATAGAATTATTAAAAGTTATCCTCTTTACAAGATAAATGAAGAACTCAATTTTCTTTTGTCATGTTAAAAATTGCTTTGATTATGATATAAGGAGATGTGGTATGAGATGTTGAACTCCTTTTGACTTAAAAGTATTAAGAAAAACTGAGTTTTCAAATATCTATATGATAATAAAATGCTTCGCTGGGGCGCAGCTTGATATGACCGCAGAGGTCGAACCCTGAACAGTTGGGGCAAGTATGGACACAACATTCAAGCTTGATACAGCTCTGAATTTGGATTGTTATTAAATATTTGACACAGCATAGGTTTCTGACACAGAAAGAATGTGGTCTAAGAACTTGAATTTTTTTAATTTACCTATTATGGTCCAATGTCCAAAATCAAAATACATGGTTAGATTCAGCATATCAAAGAACCCCATATATTCAATTTTTGTTAAAATCAAACAATGTTTAATTTTGGACCCCAACTTGGACAAACTTGAAAACTGGGCCCATAATCAAAAATCTAAACACATGTTTAGATTCAGCATATCAAAGAACCCCAAGAATTCAATTTTTGCTAAAATCAAACTAAGTTTAATTTTGGACCCTTTGGACCTTAATGTAGACCAATTTAAAAAACGGGACTTAAAATTAAAAATCTAAATACACGGTTAGATTTGGAATATCAAAGAACCCCAATAATTCAATTTTTGATGAAATCAAACAAAGTTTAATTTTGGACCCTTTTGACCTCAATATGAACCAATTTGATAGCGGGGCCCACAAATAAAAAATCTAAATTCATGGTTAGATTCAGCATATCAAAGAACCCCATATATTCAATTTTTGTTGAAATAAAAAAAAGTATAATTTTGGACCCCAACTTGGACCAACTTGAAAACTGGGCCCATAATCAAAAATCTAAACACATGTTTAGATTCAGCATATCAAAGAACCCCAAGAATTCAATTTTTGTTAAAATCAAACTAAGTTTAATTTTGGACCCTTTGGACCTCAATGAAGACCAATTTAAAAAACGGGACCCAAATTAAAAATCTAAAAACACGGTTAGATTTGGCATATCAAAGAACCCCAATAATTCAATTTTCGATGAAATCAAACAAAGTTTAATTTTGGACCCTTTTGACCTCAATATGAACCAATTTGATAGCGGGGCCTACAAATAAAAAATCTAAATACATGGTTAGATTCAGCATATCAAAGAACCTCATATATTCAATTTTTGTTGAAATCAAACAAAGTCTAATTTTGGACCCCAATTTGGACCAACTTGAAAACTGGGCCCATAATCAAAAATCTAAATACATGTTTAGATTCAGCATATCAAAGAACCCCATATATTCAATTTTTGTTGAAATCAAACAAAGTTTAAATACTGGACCCTATCTTGGACCAACTTGAAAACTGGGCCCATAATCAAAAATCTAAACACATGTTTAGATTCAGCAAATCAAAGAACCCCAAGAATTCAATTTTTGTTAAAATCAAACTAAGTTTAATTTGGACCTTTTGGACCTCAATGTAGACCAATTTAAAAAACAGGACCCAAAATTAAAAACCTAAATACACGGTTAGATTTGGAATATCAAAGAACCCCAATAATTCAATTTTAGATGAAATCAAACAAAGTTTAATTTTGGACCCTTTTGACCTCAATATGAACCAATTAGATAACGGGGTCCACAAATAAAAAATCTAAATACATGGTTAGATTCAGCATATCAAAGAACCCCATATATTCAATTTTTGTTGAAATCAAACAAAGTTTAATTTTGGACCCCAATTTGGACCAACTTGAAAACTGGGCTAAAAATCAAAAATCTAAATACATGTTTAGATTCAGCATATCAAAGAACCTCATATATTCAATTTTTGCTAAAATCAAACAAAGTATAATTTTGGACCCTTTGGACATTAATGTAGACCAATTTGAAAACTGGACCCAAAATTAAAAATCTAAATACACTGTTAGATTCGGCATAACAAATAAATAAATGTGATCAAAGATTTTACAAATCTAATGCGCCATACTGTGCAATTAAAGATTACTTCTTGAAATTTTTCAATATTTGAAATTTGAAAAAAAAATAATATTTGAAGAATAATTCTTTTTAATTTCTGAAATCTGAAATGAGAAAAAATTGGCCCCCCACAATTTCTTTTTATCCCCCCCCCCTCCTTTTTCCCCCAAAAAAATTCTTTCCCTCAAGATATGGTCATAATCTCAATTCAAATTTCCAATGGAGTTGGCAACCATAATTACCCATTTAAATTTACCATAGTGCTAACTTAATCTATTTTATAATAGAATTAATAAAAATATAGTGTCAAATCTTTCATATGGATTTTTTTGTAAAAAAAAAAGATGAAAACATTTGCAGATATTTTTACTGGTCTTCCTTTATAAATATGCATTTCTTTAAACATAATTTAAAAGCAGTGTAAGGGAAGTAACCAAAACGTTGTATTTGGATTACCTCCCTTACACTGTTTTAGATTATCTTTATTGTTCATTAACCATTACTTTATACATAATTTAAAAGCAGTGTAAGGGAGATTATTTCAATGATGTATTTGATTTATCTCCCTTACACTGCTTTAAATTATGTTTTGTACTAAAGTATTTGTCCATTAACCAGGACAACCTTGTTTTTCCCCCTTTTTTGCCCTTAATTCCTAAACGGTTTGAGCCATAACCCCCCAAAGCAAATCCTAACCATCCCTTTGTGGTATGGAAACTTGTAGTATAATTTCAGAGAGATCCATACACCATTCCACAGTTATTGTCTGGAAACTAGAAAATGCTCATTTTTGGCCCCTAATTCCTTAACTGTTGGTACCATAACCCCCAAAATCAATCCCAACCTTCCTTTTGTGGTATTTAACCTTATGGTCAAATTTCAAAAAGATCCATTCACTTAAACTAAAGTTAGAGTGCGAAAACCAATATGTATTCGGACGACGACGCCGGACGACGACGACGACGACGACGACGACAACGATGCCAACGTCATACCAATATACGACCACAAATTTTTTTTGCGGTCGTATAAAAAAGGACTTGTAAAATTGAATAGGAAAACAACAATATAATTATTAACAGATGTCCATTACTAGTGGAAGTGTGCAACCAGCTATTTAGTAATGAACTTTTGTTAATATGTACTGGGTTGATTTCACTATTTAGACCCCTTCTAACTACAAAGCTTGATTGATGTTTATTTTGATTTGTTCAACCATCATTACTTATTCATTACTAATTAGAAACATCTTGCATGTTTTATTGTATTATTTTTTCATTTGTCCTAAGAAAGTTTAAATCATTGAAGGAACATTCTTATACCAACTTTTGTTTAATTTGTATTCATCTTATATTTTCACCCATAAACATAATTTTAAGGAGAATGTAATATGAAAAACATGGTAAAACAGGGGGAGTAACTTTTATAACTATATCATTTATTCCCTTATTATGGTCCTTAGGCTGTCAGCCTGAGGTAACAAATTTTAATAAATAGTAAGTGTGACACCCGAGCTGTAAAGCCACCTAATTATCCATATTCTTTGAATATACAGGTAAAATTTATCTTCAACAGTGACACAAAAACTTAACATTGACCAAAGAACCATGAAAAAGAGGTCAAGTTTAGATGAAATCTGCCAGGCTGACATGTACCCCTTACAATCATTCCATTACAATTGAATTGCAAAAAAATTTATAAAAGGTGTATATTGATAATATATATAAATACATTAACTTTTTGGCTGTTAAAGTGAATATGATGTTTATGACCTACCCTTCCTACATCATGACCATCACATGCATCTCTACATACAGTATCCATCAAGTGATTGCCATATGACAAAATTGTTGCTACATTCTCCTTAGTCAGCTGATCATATTCAGAATCTGTACCTGATAAAAGTCTCTCTCCAATTCCTTCTACTGATTCTCCTATCATAACATAAATAAATAAGCTTAAGCTACCAGTGTTTGGTTCTGTAATCTTGTCTTTCATTTTCCTTTAAAATATTGTCTGTATCAAGATGTCACAAATGAGACACTATTATTATCTAAATATGGCTAACTTAAAAAATTCGTAAGGGTTCTGCGGAACCCAGTGTCTCGCCTACTTTTTCTGTTAATTGCAGGATCAACAAAAAAGAGGAATTAAATCAATAAAAATATTCCACTTGATACTATCTTTTGATTGTAAGAAGCTTCTGTCCAAGTTTGGTAAAAATCAAGGATAGTTTATGAATCTAATAAATGTTTAAAAACTTTAACTGCAGACTGAATGTAATGTTAACTGGAAGAAAACAAAATTTCCTTCTAGATACTAGCATTTGATCACAAACAAGCTTCTGTCCAAGTTTGGTACAAATCCAAAATAGTATAAGAAAGTTATTAAAATTTTAAAAACTTTAACCACAGAGTGAATATATGTGTCCTGGCAGAAAATCTAAGTCCAATTAAAAGTTAAATACGGAAAAAATGGATTTATTTTTTTACAAAATTTCCTTCTAGATACTAGCTTTTGATCATAAACAAGCTTCTGTCCAAGTTTGGTACAAATCCAAAATAGTATAAGAAAGTTATTAAAATTTTAAAAACTTTAACCACAGAGTGAATGTGTTGTTTCCTGGCAGAAAATCTAAGTCCATTCAAAAGTAAAATAAGAAAAAAATGGATTTATTTTTTTACAAAATTTACTTCTAGATTCTATCTTATGATCATAAACAAGCTTCTGTCCAAGTTTGGTACAAACCCAGGATAGTTTAAGAAAGTTATTAAAATTTTAAAAACTTTAAACCACAGAGTGAAAGTAATATTTCCCGGCAGAAAAACTAAGTCCATTTATAAGTAAAATACGGAAAAAATGGAATTTTATTTTTACAAAATTTACTTCTGGATACTATCTTGTGATCATAAACAAGCTTCTGTCCAAGTTTGGTAGAAATCCAGGGTAGTTTAAGAAAGTTATTAAAATTTCAAAAACTTTAACCACAGAGTGAATATTTGTGGACGCCGCCGCCGCAGACGGAATGTAGGATCGCTATGTCTCGCTTTTTCGACTAAAGTAGAAGACTCGACAAAATGTTTTAGGTCTCACACAATCCATTTTCCTTAAACACCCAGTGTGCTATGCCATATCTGATTGAGTAATGCAGGCAAGTAAATAAACGAGGAATTAAATAAACAGCTGCGCCATGAGCGCATGATACGCCCGTCACATTTTTTATGAAAAAAGTTCAATAACTTCTCAATGTCATATCAGAAACTTGTGAAAAACTAAAGGGAGGTTATCTTAATTGATATAAACGAGTCACCAAAGTTTAATGAAAACTGCTCAAAGCACTTTAAAGGTATTGTCCGAAAACTAGAAAATCGCCCCTTTTTTATGAATAAAATCCCATAACTCGGAAGTGTAAAATCTAAAATTTATAAAAATCAAAAGGGAGCTCATGTCAATAGATATAAACAATTGACCAAAGTTTCTTGCAAATTGGTGAAAGCATTTTTGAGTTATTTTCCGAAAACTGGAAAATCCCCCTTTTTTTTAATAAATAAAACCCCATAACTCAGAAACGTAAAATCTAAATTTTATAAAAAACGAAAGGGAGCTCACATCAATAGATATGAACAATTCACCAAAGTTTTATGCAAATTGGTTGAAGTGTTTTTGAGTTAATGTGTGACATGTTGACCACGGACAACGGTATATCATAATACGTCACGTAAACAGGCGTATAAAAACTCAGGACTTCATATTAGCATTTTTAGATTTGGCCATATCCGGGCGACTAATTTTTTTTGCTATCCCATTGACAACAAAGTGATAATGGTTAGATGGACTGACAGAAAGTTTATAAATGTTATACCTTTGTTGGGATAAACAATCTGGTCAAGTCTAAGGTAAATCACTCAAGGCATATGTCAGCTAGTGTGTGACATGTTTATGTTAGATTGACTGACAATACATCAAAATCATGAAGTTCATGCCTAAATCGTGAAAGTTGGCAGGTATGAGTTGGTTCCCTGTTTGCCCTATTCTGTTGTAGTTTACATTGCCTTCCATTGATCATGTATACCACATTATTGATGACACATGATATTTCTTCTTTAATTTCATATTTTAATTGTTCACTGTTTCAGTTTGTATCATATGTTTGCAACGGTAGCAGTTTAGTCCACATAGTATATTTGTTTTTTGTGAGGTTAACAGTGTATGGAGATCTTTCCAAAATGTATGTGTGGTTTGTTAAAATTCTGGATATTCCTTTTGTTATGCTGTTAAAATTTGTGACAAATGGTATGATATTTTCCCTTACATCGTTCTGGTTTTTTTTTCTTTTAATAGTTGCTCACTATTTATAGATTTATCATTACACCTTGGAAATAGATTGTGTTATGATGGTGAAAAATAATCGTAAACAATATACCTTTCTGTTGACTTTTAGGCTTCTCTGCAATCTGTAGGTAGTACAGTAGGGCTCCATATAAGTTTGCCCTAACCCTCTGTTGACCCCCACCTGAATATAAAGTTATTCAAAACTTATCACCGCCAACAGCAGCTAGATTTCAAAATTGAATGTTAACCTAGAAGAGGTATGTGATAAATTTACGGTACTGCATTCTTGTTCAGAAAAATCAATCCGATTCAACTAAATATTAAGCATACATGCTCTCTTTCATTACATAAAATTGCTGTTTTAAAAAATTTAGTTGCAATTGAAAGCAGTTGATATAACGTGACAGTACCCAAATTGCAACTATTTTGGCAGTTTTTTCACCTACGTTTATTTATGATCCAGACAAAAGTTTCCATTCTGTGTTTATTTTGTAGATGTATCCTATTTTTCTACATAGTTACACCAATTTAGTTTTGAATCCATTTTGAATCATAGAAAAATGGGTTTGAGCCTACCTCCATTGGCTCCAAACGATCCATGATTCTGTAATGTGGAGTACTGAAACTGCATCCATGCTTAAATTCACATTCTTTAAAATCGATTAACAGATGTTTTGTTTTATTTCTTCAAATATTTAGAACAATTTGACATAAGTCCATGCTTAGTATTCAGTTTTTAAGAAATGGATGCTTGTAACATATTTTATTTGCTAATTTTTAAAAGATGACTTTTTGTGGACGTCGCATGGCGATGTTGCTGTAAATTTTTACTTTTTCCAGTTAATACTTCATCTGTTGATATATAATGTGAACGTTTTGTGTATATTATATCAGATTATTACATGGCATTTATCATATCAGATGTATTATCAGCCCAAGGTTCAATATCAGCCCAAGAGCTGAAGGCTCGAGGGCTGATATTGACCGAGGGCTGATAACACATCTGATATGAAAAATGATATGTTATGATCTTTTTATCATATGCTTCAACAATGGAGAAACAGTTTTTAATATATTGATCCTTTTAATTGGTTCTCAAGTAGAAGTTCATAAAGTGAAAAGTTTACTGACGTCGGACACCAAATGTAATACATCCGAAATGAAATCTTTCTATCATTCGCCTCAACAGAGGAGAAAAAAAAACCAGTATAATATATTTTCATATTAACGATATAAAAAAAAAATCAACAAAACATAATAAACACTTTTTGGATAGGTCATCATTTGTAAAGTAACTTTCTATATTATGATGGAAACTTTGAAAAATGCATTTGTTGTATCATTTGATTTTTTGCATTTTACAAAATATATTTTCCTGTTTCCTAATAATTGTTTTGTACCCAACTTTGTTTTGTTTTTCACTGTAAACGTGCCATTGAGGTATATTTTCCGGAATTTGCCGAGTAATGCCGGAATTCCATGCGATAACGTTAGGGAAAGGCATGTGATAATAGCTGGAGGTATGTGATAAATTTTTCATATCAGCCCGCTAAACACCATTTCGGAAAATATGGAATTCACGTAAATTTAATGCTATTATCATACTGTAAAAATTATGTTATTTACTCTAAGTATATGATAATTAAATATATTACATATGGTTTGATGTTTCTTGTTTCTCATTGGTTTATTTTATCACGTGTTTCCCAATATATATTTTGTATTTTTTCACTATTTTGACCTATTGACTCGACATTACTATTCTTAAAAATGATATTGACTCCATGTTACTAAAAATAGTAACATCGGGTCGATATCATTTGTAAAAATAGTTACATCTAGTCAATATCATTTCCAAAAATAGTAACATCGAGTCAATATCATTTCCAAAAATAGTAACATCAAGTCGATATCATTTCTAAAAATAGTTACATCAAGTCAATACCATTTCCAAAAATAGTAAGATCAAGTCAATATCATTTCCAAAAATAATAACATCGAGGCAATATCATTTTCAAGCTTACCCTATTTACATATGTAATATTTAAATTAAGGACTTTCACTCAGTCAATACGTTATATATGGACCTGTTAGATTATATTGAACCTCGGTCAATATAATCTGAACAGGTCAATATATAACGTATTGACATCGTCAAAAGTCCATAACTGATAAATATTTACCTATGTTGAAAGACGTGTATAATGTCAAATCATAAAAATACAAATTGTTTAGTCTCAAAGAAAACTTATAAGATTTCAGCTACTAATTTTGCTGAATAGGTGTAATTTGGGTACTGTGACATTACTTATAGTAAACTATTTTTGTGAGAATATAATGAGAAAGACAAGAGTGGATATAAAGAAATGCATCATCTGCATAATTGGTAATGAATGATTTATATGATGAAGTTATATGAAATCATGATCAGACAAATTATGTCAAAAAATATAAGGGTTATAACTCCTATAAGCAGTAAATTGTTATAACTCCTATAAGCAGTAAATTGATTTGGTTTTTTTGCATTTTTGTACATCCTGTTTGCTGATCATTTTTGCCATTTACAGTTTCAGTCTTTCTATAATGTTCATGGTTATAGAACAGACACTTAAAATTGGTCAAAAATTGTCCTTTTGGGGCAGTTTCTTTGATAAAGAGTCATTTTTTATGGTTTCAGTCATAATCACTAGCAAATCAATAATTCTAAACTGAAACAACCTGAACAATAAATTGATAAGTCATCCTGAGTCTTTCAGTCAAATTTCAGACAAGTTAATTTAGTCCTGTTCATACACATTTTTTTGCTGTTTAGCATTATGTCTATTTATTCTAGTTTTCAAAATAAGAGTGCACATGCTGAAATGTCTTGCCTGCTTTACATTTTCTGGTTGAACTTATGTTGAAATCATACCATACACCAACTAGAGGCTCTCAAGAGCCTGTGTCGCTCACCTGTATTTACTGATGCTTTGGAAATCATGTAAAATAAGGTTAAAATCATAATTAATAGTATTAGATATTAGATATTATAATGATATCTAAGATAATAACAAATAAAATGCTCCGCAGGGCGCAGCTTCATACGACCGCAGAGGTCGAACCCTGAACAGTTGGGGCAAGTATGGACACAACATTCAAGCTTGATACAGCTCTGAATTTGGATTGTGATTAAATATTTGACACAGCATAGGTTTCTGACACAGAATGAATGTGGTCTAAGAACTTAAAAATTTTAAATTGGACATTCACCTATTATGGTCCAATATCCAAAATCTAAATACATGGTTAGATTCAGCATATCAAAGAACCCCAAGAATTCAATTTTTGATGAAATCAAACAAAGATTAATTTTGGACCCTTTTGACCTCAATGTGGACAAAGTTGATAACGGGGCCCAAAAATCTAAAATCTAAATACATGGTTAGATTCAGCATATCAAAGAACCCCATATATTCAATTTTTGTTGAAATCAAACAAATTTAATTTTGGACCCCGATTTGGACCAATTTGAAAACTGGGCCCATAATCAAAAATCTAAATACATGTTTAGATTCAGCATATCAAAGAACCCTAAAAATTCAATTTTTGTTAAAATCAAACTAAGTTTAATTTTGGACCCTTTGGACCTTAATGTAGACCAATTTGAAAACGGAACCAAAAATTAAGAATCTAAATACACGGTTAGATTCGGCATATCAAAGAACCCCAATAATTCAATTTTTGATGAAATCAAACAAAGTTAAATTTTGGACCCTTTGGACCTCAATGTGGACCAATTTAAAAACGGGGCCCAAAATCCAAAAACTTAATACACGGTTAGATTCAGCATATTAAAGAACCCCAAGAATTCAAGAATAAAACCCCATTGAAATTGATCAAGAAATAAGCAATTTATACGAAGTATCTTCTTTTGCACAATACTGTGCAATAGAATATTTCTTGCTATTGTGCAATACTGTACAATTGACAATTTCTTGCTATTGGGCAATATTGTGCTATTGGATATTTCTTGCTATTGCGCAATACTGTGCAATTGAAGATTTCTTGCTATTGCGCAATACTGTGCAATTGAAGATTTCTTGATATTGTGCAATACTGTGCAATTGAAAATTTCTTGCTATTGCACAATACTAATTTTATAATAATTTACACATCATGTTTGGTGTGTATCTCCTACCATATCATTATTATTTGCTTTTAAATATTAATCAGAAATAACCAACTTAAAATGGAAAATTTTAAAAGAAAAAAATAAGGAAAAAAAAAAAAAAAAGAAAAAAAAAAATCCCCCCCCCCCAAATTTTTTGAACCCCCTTATGATTCATCACCCCCAAACTCAATCCCAGCCTTCCCTTTGTGGTATGGTACCTTGCAGTACAATTTCAGAGAGATCCATACACTTGAACACAAGTTATTGTCTGGAAACTAGAAAAATGCTTATTTTTGGCCCCTTTTTGGCCCCCAATTCCTAAACGTTTCGGGCAATTACCCCCAAACTCAATTCCAGCTTTCCCTTTGTGATATGGAACCTTGTAGTACAATTTCAGAAATATCCAAACACTTACACACAAGTTATTGTCATGAAACTAGAAAAATGCTTGTTTTTTGCCCCTTTTTTGGCCCCTAATTCCTAAAATTTTGAGGCAATTACCCCCAAAATCAATTACAGCCTTCCCTTTGTGATATGGAACCTTGTGGTACAATGTCAGAGAGATCCATACAGTTACACACAAGTTATTGTCTGGAAGTTACAAAAATGCTTATTTTTGGCCCCTTTTTGGCCCCTAATTCCTTAACTGTTGGTACCATAACCCCCAAAATCAATCCCAACCTTCCTTTTGTGGTATTGAACCTTATGGTAAAATTTCATGGAGATCCATTCACTTAAACTAAAGTTAGAGTGCGAAAACCAATGTGTCTTCGGACGACGACGACGACAACGACGACGCCAACGACGACGCCAACGTCATACCAATATACGACCAAAAAATTTTTAATTTTTGCGGTCGTATAAAAACTGCAAAATTTTTGTAAAATTACTAACTCAGGGGCAGTAACCCAACAACGGGTTGTCGGATTCGTCTGAAAATTTCAGGGCAGATAAATCTAAATCTGATGAACATTTTTGCCACCTGTCAGATTTGCTCTAAATGCTTTAGTTTCAGAGATATAAACCAAAAA